CTCCTTTTTTTTATCCACTCACTTCTCCATCTGCTTTCACTTTTGTTTGCTTGGGCCGTCTCTCATCCCAACTTGATAATGAGGAATGCGGTGTGACCCTGACCTCTATCAGCCCATGCATGACCTTCTGACTCCCCCACATAACCTTTGACCTTCTCTTTGACAGCTTGATTAATTACCCTGTGTTATGATTTATGAGTAAGTGCTATGTAAAAATAATAGACAACAGGTGGTCCTCTAAAAACTTTTTGTGGCATGTTTTCTTTTCCTGCCTCACTTGATGAGCTATTTTAAGTTGGGGACTTAGTGGGACAATGTGTGTTTGGCAGTAACACAGCATTTTTACACACTTGGACACGGTGCTGGAATTCAGGCAGCCGAGGTGTAGCCGGGGATGGAAATATCGCAAAGTATTAGCAGGGCGCAGTTGCCAAAATGTACATTGGGTGGAAACAGAAAGCGGAGTCAACTGACATTTCAGGCGTTTCAGTCTCAGGTCACGTCTTGAGAAAATTGCTCAAATAATGGAGGGGGCATTTTTCAAGCTGAGCTGCATCTCCAACAGCTATGTTTACTTTAACGCTTCACTAGTGACTTCTGATTGGTTGTCATGACCTCATCCCACTGTTGCACCTACGATGTCGCAACAGTGACATAGATGTACCCTTCTCGTGGAAAAAGATGGGAAATGAACAGAACATACATCTTTCAGAAAGATGAATGGACATTGCTGTGTCCGTTTTAACCACGGGCAGATTTAAGAGCTGAGCACTCTGAGTTGCATTTCCCCTGGGAATTAACTCCGGTCTTGTTGCCAACGATCCAAATACAAACCTGAACTTGAAAAATCAGGTTGATAAAGCTTGGGAAAATGATCTCTTTCAGACCCTCTCTTGCAGCCCAAAAAGGTAGTTACGCAGGTCAAAAGATTCCTCTCCAGCCCTGACCTCTCTGGTCACATATGGTGTCCCATCTTGGTGGATTAATATGCAGAGCTGAATGCTTTCAGCTCATTATTCATGTGGCCAGGCAGAAGAGATTTCAAAAGATTAGGAATTTTAAGGTTTTTTTTTTTTTTTTTTTTTGTTAACCTTACTCTTGCTGTCAGAGGCAATAATTTTGGCATTCCTTCCGTTTTCGAACATTTCGCTTGAACTTTCAGTAAGAGACCGAAAGTATTGCTCCCTTTCTGGCTTGTGTATCGCGGTGGAAAATGTGCTGGCTCTGTAGTAAAGGTGTTGTAACCGAGATTCGTGATTCTTTCCATCTCTCGACTTTGCCAGCCTGCTTTTCCTTCTGTCATCATTTGCTGGCTCGGTCATAAGTATAAATTGTATTTGTATTTATGAACCTGAAAGAGGAGTTTGCGTGCAGTCCTCTACCTCCAGAAGTAGTTGGTGGAGGATGCTTATAGCGTGGTTTGCACTTCATTTACCCTGAAACGTCAGAATTTGGGGGAATAGCTTTTAACAGGGTGTTCTAGTCTGAGAGAGAAACCGCATCTCCTGAACCCGTAGATTAGAGGCTGGGGCTTGTGTTTATCAGTGTCTGTCCTGATTAGTGCGTCTCATCACAGACACACTAATGGGGGATGCGGGCAGGCCTTGGCTTCTGTGCAACATCTGTATTCCCTCACACATCTGGCAGAGCACGGGGCTTGGCTTCTTTCAGCCAGCTGAAGATTGATGGGGGCAGGGGGGGTGGGTTTGCCCTAAAGTTTAGCTTTCTGCCATGAAAGAAACTTGGCACTTTAGAGAGTGTTTTCTCTTTCTGTGTGCACTGGTGGACACACAGGAGGAAGCTACCCCACTGGTACGTATGTTGAAAACATGTCCCTGATGTTTTGCTGATGGTGGCACGCTTTAAAAACTCCTGGGTGATGGTACTTACATCCTAGGTCTTAGTAATGCTGTAAGCGCATCATAGGTGAGACTGATGCCTTTTCTGAGGTGAATGCTTCAGAACACAACTTCCATTAAATAGATACTTTTTTAATGAATGTGATTTTGTCTTTGCTTAACAGTCATGGCAAAGACTCCGTATCTTGCCTGTTATTAAAGTTTGCTGAAGCCGGTTTGGGTTTTTTTTTTTTGTTTGTTTGTTTTTTTTTTAAGATATTAGTGGTCTTGTGTGCTCAGCTTTGCATTGACTTGCACTCTGCTCAACCCCACTGACTTCAGTGAGGAAGTTTTGCTTTTAATTTTCGGAGTGCACTGAACTTCGGTGGTGCCGCTGTGCCCACATGAAATGCATTTTGTAAAAATTAATTGAACTTGGGGAGCCACGTTGTTCACATAGATGTTATTTAGAGCTGAGTATTCCTCTTCAACAAAAAATGCTTGGGCTAAGGCTGAATGAGAGAGGTTGTAATTGGGTGCAATTTTACCAGTCATTTTGTTTTTCCCTGTTGCTTTATGCATGTTACTCTCAAATCTTCTTTCTGGTGCCGTTGTTTACACCTTGCAATTTAAGATGCAGGAGTACAAGAGAAAGGGAGATACACCGTGTCATGTGAGCAAAACGATCTGAAAAGAGATCACTTTCCTAAGAGAAAGTCTTACGAATTGTAAGACTTTTTTTTTTTTTTTTCCCCTCAACTAGGGCAAAACCTCTTTCAGTTATTACTTAGTTATTTTAATTGTACTGGCAGGAAAGGCCTGCTATCTGGGAGAAATTTTAAAAGAATGGAAAGGCAGGCATGCTACGCTGCTTAAAATATAATTCTTAAAAATCTTTTAATTGATTTATGAAATAGTGGGTTTAAAAATGGAATCATATTTCATCTGTTGATGTCTGTGTGAAAAATTGACATTGTGTCCTCATAAAATTGGACAAATGAGTCATGTAATTTTCAGTTACATAATCAATAACTTAGACAAATTCTACTTCTTTGATGATTTATGTGTCTGTTTTGTGGTCAGTTTAAAGTGGACACAGGGTTTCAAATCCCTGTAACACTCGTAAGCCTGCAATAAACACATGAATTTGCATTTGGCATTGTATAGAAAGCAAAACGAATCGATAGGCAGAACGTCTCTGCTCAGAACAAGCGGGTCAAGAAGATGAACAGCACAGAGAGCCCCAAAACCACCAGCCTGCCAAGTACCGCGAAAACTTGGTCCTACTCTGACACTAGCGAGCTCAAAAAACCATCCTTCCCTCTGAGGCGTGTAATTTAGGGACGTTTGATAAGTATTATCCTCCCCCGAGATGGGTTTTGGGCTTTGAATTTTCAGAGTTGGTTGTTTTATGAGTTAATGGTAGAGTGGTGTGGGTTAACGTGACCGGTGCTGGCGTGGGTAGATTTTTAAACTTTGTCTTCTCCAATTTTCCGTTTTTCTTTGCCCTCCCCCCTTTGTTTATTTATCTGTTTGCCCATTTGTTTATATTTATCCCAGTTCAATTCACTCGGCGGGGAGGGCAGGGGAGCGACATGACAGGAGACCACTTACTCACGGCGCCGTGTCTAGCGAGGAGGCAATTTTCTCTTTGGCCTGTGGTGACCTTTTTTGACTACGTCCCTTACGCCAGAGACAGTGTCCTGAATGCCTCTATTTCACCCTGTTTAGCAGAGTGCAACCGTGCCCTTTAACTTGGTTTTTGGTGGGAGGAGAAGCTACAGCAGACGTTTGAGAAGGGCACAAGGACGAGGGGTAGGAACTCCCTTCAGATGCGATTTTGATAACTAGCCGAGTGTGTCCAACTGTAGAAAATCACCGAGTGACAATCTGTCTACCTGACAGTAGCCACAATGCGCTACAAGGTTTGTGAATGGCTCTACAGATTAGAATAAAGCAAGCCCAAATAAAGTATCTTTTGTTGGCCTGGGCTTGGTTTGCTCTGGCCAGCTAGGTATGGGGACCTCTTTGATCCTCGTGCCTAGCCCAAGTGCAGAGTGAAGCACCAAGTGAAAAGCTGGAATAAAGCTGTTCGGTTACGTTATTAATATAGATGTTTCCGAAAAGTAAATCTTTATTAAAATTTACTTTTAAAGGACAGCTTGATTTTTGACTGGGAACCCATGGTAACTTTAAGGGCTCATCTGTTAAATGCACGTGCTTCTCTTTTCTCCCTGCATTTGCGATTATATCTTCCACGAATATTACAATCCTTGTGTGATTTGCCATCATTTAAAAATCATAATAAAATGATTGGCTGATTTATTCAAGATTTATTTCTCATTCATAAATTCATGTATTTTTCAACCGGCTCATTTTCTGAGGCACAAAAATGCAGCTGGTATGCTCAAAAGCATCCTGCAGGTCACAAATTTTCTCTGGGTTTGTTGAATACAGGACATAATCCCAGTGAAGTTTTAGAGCAGATTTAAAGATGTGCTTAAAAGTCATCCCCACAGTAAAAGAGTTGACTTGTAAGCAATACCACTGAATCAGTTTTGGTATTGATTCATTGTTACTGCCGCTATTGGCTTCTGCATGGTGTGCTTGTTGTCAACTAGACAAAAGGTTTTACTATTTTAAACTGCAGTGAATAATTTTCACATGTTTTCTTTAATATATATATATATATATATATATATATGAATGAAAGCCCTCCATCCTTTTTATTTTAAAGGTTTTTATTGGCGGGGTATAAAGCTTTTTATTCATCATTATGTAGAGTTCTTAAAATAATATTTTGCTTTTAGTTCTCATACTGTTTTCTGAAAAAGTCGTATAAAGTGCTTATGAATAAAACAACATATTAAATTATTTTAAAGGTAAAACAGGCAACTTTTCTGACGCTGAGGGATGTGTATGAGCACAAGTGCACACACAGACACATTCACACATCAATATCCCTTTAATGACAGAAACGAAACAAACAGAGTATTCTTAAAATGCCCTTCTATAATTTACGTTGTGTGAACTTACTGAAATAAATATAAAAGTTTTTAAGAGCATAAAGTAAATGCAAAGCATTTTCAAGCATTAACTCTCCCTTTTCATATTTTTTTTTTTTTTTGGTGTGTGTGTGTGTGTGTGTCTCTTCTAAAACAGGAAGGCTATGGAGTAATAGTACTGAATCCCAATGAGAACTATATTGAAGTGGAGAAGACAAAAGCCCAAGTACAGCTGTCTTCTGATAGCTCAGATGAACCTGCAGAAAAGAGGGAAAGAAAAGATAAAATCCAGAAGGAAACAAAGAAACGCCGTGACTTCTACGAAAAGTATCGAAATCCACAAAAAGAAAAAGAAACTATGCAGATGTACATTAGAGTAAGTTTCTTTTGGTTTTCTTTGCCCTTCTTTAATGATGTATAGATATGTTTACCTTCCATATTGGCTAATAAACAGCATGCTCTTTATAAAACAAACACATTACCGAGATGGCATTCAAGAGTTCATACAGAGTTCCTGGCTCTTTATTGATATTTTTTGTCACTTATTGAATGTGAAGTTTTGGAAGAGTTACAAAACATTCCTTTCTAATTTCAAAGGGGAACTTCAAATGAACCCCAGAGGAATTCACTGGTGCTATCAAGAAAGGGGATGATTTAAGGAAGGCTTTGTAAAAATGATTTTATAAACAGAGGTATACATAAGAAACACTTTCTAATGCAGCTCAGGCAACATATGAGCTTCACTTGTCGTGCATGCATTTATTGTATTATATTGTCTTATACTGGGGAGGCAGTAGTTGTAGCGTGACAGTTTTTTAACATATTACCTGCTGAATTACTAATATATTGTGGAAAATACTGATGTTCATCTTGTGTGGTAGCAGATTTGCCCTATAATGTATTGTTTTCATATGAGCAGCCATCCATTGTGTTTCAGCTGAACTTCTGAAGGCAGATAAAGGAGGAGAGTTATTAATATCTTAATAAATATTTAAGCTAGAATAGTTCGAGAATGGTGTAATGAGGAAACTCTGTCCCTTGCTCTTTTCTTACTCAGTGAACCTTTGCACTTTGTAATGCTACCAGCATGGGATCGTTATAAGAGTGCTACCCGAGGATTTCTAATTCTGCAGGGGGCACAAACAATATTATTTGCACTTTGACACATTCTGCTTCATATACATACTATGCATTATACATTTGAGACTGAGTCATGCAATTTCCAAAGCTCTTATTATGAAAGTTAGCATTTCCATTCAACGGTAAAACGTGTCAGAAACATCACAGTGTAGTGGAAACAGTAAAAATCTATATGCCTTTTTGGTGCAAAACACAAAAATCCAGCCAAAGACAGGTTCGAACCAACTTAAATTTTAACGTGTTCCTATTAATTGTGGTTCAGCATAGCAATGTTTGTAGGAGAAATACAGCTGTACTGGCTTGTTAAAAGGGTTTGTAATCTGGATGGGAGATTATCGCTAATACCATAAATATTACTGTGTCTTTTGAGAAATATCTCAGTACTGAGTATGGGAAACAAAAGGATGCATGTACATATTCAAAGTCACCCACAGGGACCTGGTTTTTCTCTCTGCTGCTTTTCATGAGAGATGCCATTCTGCCCACCAGCCAGACCCTGCTTCTGAAGAGGAGCGACCAGGCTTGTCCATCAGAAGCCAGTGGACAATGTTGCTGTGTTGTCCAGAAAGGCATCTGGTCAGAATGCTGGCCCAGCGTCCTCTTGTTGAAACTGAAGCGCTTTTTTAACACCTCTTTAGCGGTTCCACCTTCTCGTGGATCTTTTGCTTGATGAGGCATTAAATTTGGCTTCGGGAGGTTTGACCCCTGAGACACAAAACGCATGACTCCATCCCATGTTCTTTTGTTGCGCAGCTCTGTGCCTAGGTATATCTGTTGACGTTTCCTTTATTTGATTTTCTTCAAACAGAGGAAAGAAGTAGTATAAGTCATAGTGAAAGTGTGGGTGGTGGTCTCCTTTCTTTGGTGAATTAACTGAAATTGGATGTTCTGATGCGGTTCTGGTTTGTTCTGAAAGAATTTTTTGGGTTTTTTTTCTTCCATAGTCTCCAGGCACAGAGAGTTTGTTGAAACAGAATAAAAACCATCCCTGCTTTGGTGTGTGGCAGGACACATTGCTGCAATTTGCGTGCCTGTTGGCGATAACGGTGCCATTTCCTCTGCTGGGCAGAACTGCCAAGTCCGTAGGTGGTTGCAAGAGGAGCTGTCACCGTAGCGTGCTCTGCTCCACCTTCCTGGCCACAGACACGGTTGTCAGTCTGTCCAGTCCTTCGCGCAACACAAACAAAATGGTGTAGGGCTGTATTTGTGACCTATTTCTTGCCTCCCGCGCTCGGGTCCGTCGGATGACGTGTGCTACAGGAGTCACCGTTCATTTGCACCCCGGGACTTGACGCCAGGCTTACCGCAGCCACAGGCTCTTCAAGCTGCTTTGGGGTAATCTCAAAGGGCAATTTAGATATGGGATTTACATACTGTGTAGTATAGCATATGTTTGACTCATTGGGCTCTTGAAATAAAACATACTGTCACTGCACAGTAATATTTAAGGACGGTATATGCCTCATGAAGATCTCGTCAAAAGAGTTTTGAGAAACCTGGGCAAGCCTTATGTCCTCCTTGCCAAGCAGGGAAAACTGGTACAGAGAGACTAGATGAAAATTGTCCTCACAAGAAGGCATCAATGGCATCTGACATGGGAAGAAAATTTGTTTGTGTCAGATAAGCTGGAGAAATTGTTTCAGACCGTTAAGTAGTATGAATAAATATCCTCGGTTATGTTCTTATAGGGTCATTGAGATCTGTTGTGATATGATGAGAAAATGCCATTTGAACAAATTAAAGCTGTCTGGATGATGCTCCCACTTGTGCAGTTAGATTTGCTGAGAATTGGAAGAATGGAACTCTTCCATGGAAGATTTGAGTATTTTGTTTATTTTCGTAGAGGAAAAACAAATAGCTGGGATACTCAAGAATATGTAGAAGCGGAGTCTTAAAATACAAAATCTCAAATTGCACTCTATTTTCGTGCAAAACGAGTACAAATAAAAACGACTATGGGAGCGTGTAGTGCATTAAGCATAGTGCCTGAAAGATCAAAGTACTTATCGTTTCATGCTGGAAGTTTCCTTAGCTATGAAATAATGTACTTTCTGGCATACATTACAGCTTGTTAAAGGGACTGATTTGGTCTGGGCAATAAACATCATGTCAAACATTATGGCAGAAAAACCTGCTTAATATGTTTTGTAATAAGACAGAATTTTTTGTTCTTGAAAACATCTGCCAACTGAATTCATGAGTGAAGACAGAAAATGTCATCAATTCAGTAACAATCTTATAAATTTGGTTTCTTTTTTGTCGATGCAAACCAAGGAAAAAACTTCTTGATAATCAGCATAGACTATAATACTTTATGGAATGATTAAACAAAAGCATTTTACTTTTATATAACATGCTAATGAATGCATATGAATTTTAATACTGTTCAGATTTTAACAAGCATATTGCCAGCAGATCATTTTAAAAGCATCTGTTTTTTAATGTGTTGAATGGAGAATTGAGTCAAATAGCTAAATATGTACATACATCCTTTTAAAAAAAACATATTTCTATTCTTACTTATAGATACTACCATTTTTTCTTAGACCACCAGAGGCTGCTGCTGTACACATTGGCTGATGTGATGCTTCCCCCCAGAAACTTCATACCCTAGCCAACCTTCATTTATTACTGAACTAAACTGAGGATTTGTTGATCTCTAACCTTTTTCTGTGGAAACAGATCATACAGGCTTAAATGTGACATGATTATTCCTTCCATCCTCCGAGCCATCTTGCACTCCCTACAGATTTTCACATTGACAGTGTCTTGTCTATGTTAAAAGACACTTAGAAATGTAAATCAGTATTTATCCGATTCTAAATAGCATTCACCACTTAAACAAGTATACTGAATGGATTCTGAAATGTTGTTAAAGGAAAAAGTGTAAATCACATAATTTTATAATAATAGTAATTTGGAATCATGTTGTTGCCAGCATAGCTGAAGGATATCAAAGAAGTAACAGAGGAAGAAGTAGGAAGAAGGACTTTTATCAGACCAGCTGATGGGGTCAGGTTTTCTGGGCAAAGGGAATAAGCCTTTCCTAGGCCTGCATGCTGTGAAGTTTGTCCTTCTTTTTCCACCGAGCTCAGCTGCTTTCATAATCCTTACCGCAAGTATTATTTTCACTATAGCACGGCCTATAGCCGCGCTGTTTATACCAGCAGCATATCAATGAAATAATTCATTTTGAATGTAACATACTTCTCATAAATTCTCCCATTTTCTGCGAGGGATTAAATAGAAGAAGATCATGTGCAACTAATTAATTTGCTTTGCTAAAAATGGATGCATCGGGGTAATTTGTGCCACTATTCAGGAGAAAGTGGTAAAAGGCAGGTTTATTAATACGCGGTGAAGTACGCGGCGGGTGCTGGCGGGCAGGAAATCCTGGCAAGCGCGCGAGCGCCGTTGTGCCATTTCTGCTGATTGTTCGGCGCGACTGACACGAGGCATCTCCCGACCGAAGGGCGCCCGCTGGCGCGGGGTGACCTCTCAGAGCCAGGGCTTCCCCGGTGTCCCGACGCGGCTGGGAGGGGACAGCACGACCCTCCCTGGGCAGATGCAGGTTCCCCCTGCCCACCCCGTGACTTGGCAACGCCCGGAGATGGTGTGGCAGCGTTGGCATGCTGCTGAGACCAAGCTAGTAAGCCCTTTATTCCACCAGAGGAGGCAAAATGACAAGCGCTAGGCGGGCAGCTCCCGAGAGGTGTAAGGGACGTGCCTCAGCACGGAGAAACTCGGTGGCAGAACCTGGGCATCAGGGCTCAAACCTCCAAAGTCTCAGTCCGGTGTTAATAGCTCAGTGCCTTTTTTTTTTTTTTTTTCCCTCCCCTTTTACGACTATAAGCGTTACTTTACCTGTACCTCCAAAATAACACATTTTTACTTTGTCCATGTTTACCTTTTAAAGCCCGTTACATCCTTATGTTCTTGGGAAATCCCTTTCACTTCTACAGCAAAATCACACTGGCAATGGAAAGCTCGTGAGAACTGCTTAGAAACTACTACAGCTTCATTGTTAAACCCAGAATCCTTCAGATTGGAAAAGCCCCTCGGGATCATCGAGTCCAACCCTCAGCCCGACTCTACAAAGCTCTCCCCTACCCCACATCCCCCACAGCTCATCCCAGCGGCCCTGAAACCCTCCAGGGAGGGGGACTCCCCCCTCCCCGGGCAGCCTGTTCCACTCTCGCACCACTCTTGCTGGGAAACATTTTCTCCTCCTGCCCA